CTTTGGGGCTGAATTTGTTGTGTTGCAGGTTGTTCCAGCTGCAAGTGGATTGATTTAGTTATCTATGGAGAAGTTCAATCAAAAGGATTCAGCTGGTTTTAAGAACAAGTAGTTTGTGAACAGTTTTAAAAAAAAAAAAAAAAAAAAAACAAACGCTTGTTTCATTTTGGGTAGGTGGGTAGGTTGGTTGGTTGGTTGGTGGTTTTTTTGCTTTTACAGCTTTGTCTTTTGGTTGCAACTGAGCTCACAATGAAGCTTGCCTTGGTGTTGAGGCATTCATAACCTCTGCTCTCTGAATGGGTTTTCTGGTGCCTAGTAAGGGAAGCTCAACTTCTCAGTCAATGAGTGTATTTCACCTATGCACCTGCTTGTGTGAAACTTGGAGAAGTTTGGTATCTTTGAGTCCTTCAGCACTCTCAAACATGGCTGAAGTTAAGCTGGTAAGCGTAAAAAATGACTGTGGAAGGGTTTAAGAGATAAGGGGATCATTCAGTCACAGTATGATCCTATAACCTTTGCTTCCTGAAGAATCTAGCCTGAATATTTTGGTTTGTTGAAACATTCTGGCTTTCTTCAAGCATTGCCAGGCATTCTTATTCATACAGCTCTTGGGCCTCCACTAGACTAGGAATTTGCTAATGAGGTGTCTTGTGTTTGGGGCTTGGGGGTTTTCTCCACTTCCATTGAAAATCTACTTAAACTTGATGATGTTTTAAGCCTCAGTTTAAACTGCATTTTTCTGACCGCAGCTTTTCCAAATGACATCTCCAAACAGCTTGTTCTTACAGACCACACTCAGGTCTGTGCGTGTATGCCATCTCGGAGGATGACTGCATGGGTGTCAGAGTTTACAAGGCTGCTCCAGGCACAGGGGAGCCAGGAGCTTGTGTCTGCTGTGCTCTCCGGTGTGCAAGCAGACAGCAGCTGACTCTCCACGCAAAGGCAGAGGAGCTGAGCTGGCCCTGCTGCATTAGGAATGGACTCTAGTGCCTCTGTTGTTTCAGAGCTGATGCTTATGGCAGGCCAAGAGCTTTGCTCCCAAGTACAAGCAGCAAGTGGATGTGTGCCTGGGGCTCTGGAATTGCACTCTGAAATTTTCTGGGTATTTCCCTGTCATCTAAGCAGGTGTGTCTGTGTTTAGTGTGAACACTGATCCTTCTTTGTGTTATGGTGGACAGCTGAGCTCCAACAGACTAGTCACTTCTGGGCAGTGGAGTGTCTTTGTGGTACATCCTACTTTAACAAGGATATAATTCGTTGTTGCAGAGTTGCAGGTTCCTCTCTGGTTTAGCTTGGTTTTGGATGAAGACCCCTGCACAAGCTGCAAGAGTGTATCCCCCATTGTCCCCATAATTGCAGACCCCAGCTCTGCAGTCCTTCTGGTTCAGCTGGAATCTGCTGGGACAGAACAGGGTCTATGAGCATTCTCTCACCCCACCCTAAGCTGTACCCTGTTTGCATGTTACATTGCATTTGACAAGTGATCCTTGCTCCCATATGCCTGTGAAGACTTGCATGAATGAGCTGGCATCGCTTGTGCTATTTTGATAGAAACTTTGCTTTAATGTGTCAGACCCCACTGATCATTCAGATGCATCTGTTCGGCTGCTGGTGTTAGGGCTTTACGTGGGTGTGCTGGTTTTGGCTGGGAGAGAGTTCATTTTCTTCCTAGTTGCTAGTATGAGGCTATGTTTTGGATTTGTGCTGGAAACAGTGTTGATATTAGAGGGATGTTTTGGATTTGTTCTGAAAACAGTGTTGATAATAGAGGGATGTTTTGGTTATTGCTGAGCAGCGCTTACACTGTCAAGGCCTCTTCTGCTTCTCACCCCACCCCAACAGCAAGTAGGCTGGGTGTGCACAAGGAGCTGGGAGGGGACACAGCCGGGACAGCTAACCCCAACTGACCAAAGGGATATCCCAGACGACGTGACATCATGCTCAGCATATAAAGCTGGGGGAAGAAGAAGGAAGGGGGGGACGTTTGGAGTGATGGTGTTTGTGTTCTCAAGTAACTGTTACACGTGATGGAGCCTGGCTGTCCTGGGGATGGCCCTGCCTGCCCATGGGAAGTGGGGAATGAATTCCTGATTTTGCTTTGCTTGCACATGCAGCTTTTGCTTTCCCTATTAAACTGTCTTTACCTCAACACACAAGTTTTCTCGCTTTTACTCTTCTGATTCTCTCTCCCATCCCACCAGGGGGAGTGAGCAAGTGGCTGTGTGGGGATTAGTTGCCAGCTGGGGTTAAAGCACGACAGTGGGTCACTCACTGGAGGAAGAAGCTCTTCCCATTGAGGAGGTGTCTGTGCTAAGAGCTGGCAAGGAGAGATCTGGATAGATCCAGCCAAAGGTGCTGGAAGACACTGCTCTGAATTGCCTATTGATTGTTTCTTGCTGAATGGCAGGGTTCTTCCTGAGTCTGGAAAAGATGATTGAATTTCTGTCAAAGGAAAATGATGAGGATTTTTTTTCTTTGGATGCTTTTTCTTTGGCTTACACTTTAATGAATTCCAGCATCTGGACAAGTGTCATTAGCAAAACTTCTCCATGTGCAGTGACTCTCTCTAAGGAGCTGTATAATCTCAGCACAGACAGTTGTGGCAGAAACCTCCAGTGGAGCTGAAGGACCCTTGGTTCCAGGATCTCAATGGGAACAAGGCTCTTCCGTCACTGGAGCAGCAGAAGTGTGACTTAGGCCTGACCCAGCTGACATCCCAGGCTGCACAGAGGGTCCCATCTCACTTACGTGACAACGAAATGAGCAGAGCCAGGCAGCCCCAAAGCACAGCTGCATGGTGCACAGGCCAGCATCTCCATCCAGGGAAAAAACAGCTGGCCAGCCCTGTGGTGGGAGTTTGCACCCCTGCGGGGAGGCTGGAGTTCCCCTCAGCATAAAGATGAAAGCAATGCAGCATCATGGAGAAATTGCCACTCTGCTTCTTCCCGAGCTGATGGTGCAGTCTGTGTCCACAGCTGCCTTTTATCTGAGAGGTTAGGGTTCTGCAGAGGTATAAATCTTTAAGCATCTGCAGTGTGACTCACTCCTTTCCTCTGACAGCCTCAGTGTTTAACCCAGTAAGAAAGATGGGACCACAAAGGAGGAGTTATTGTCCTGCTCCAGCTTAGTGCTCCGTTATAGAAGCCTTCTGATGTGTATACGCAGGCAGGTGAAAGGAGTCACCCTGAAGTAGATAAGGATAAAAAAAGAGGTCTGGATGGCTGTAGCCAGAGGTCAGTGTTGGTAACATGTTGAGCTGGCCCTGTCCCTCTCTGCTGTCATTATTGTTCTCCTAGAGATGAGGAGAGCATGTCCCCTTCCTGCAAGGGCTCTCATTCATTCTCAGTCCTGGGAGAGTGTTTGTGTACTTGGTCAGTCAGTTGCTGCTACCAGCGTAATCAAAGCTTGGCACCTCAGGTGCTGTAAGATTACAGGGACAGAGCCCAGCAGAGGGTCTGTCAAAACCATAACGTAATCTAAAATCCAGCCTGATCCTTTCTGGTGTATCCTAAATAACCAACTCCTTTCCCTGCCTGCTGCCCTCTACCACCTCTGGAGCTTAACACCATCAGACAGCACCAAAACGCTGCAGAAATGCAGGAAATCCCTTGATCCAGTCCTTGCAAAGTAGCCATTTTCCAAAACGGTGCCTCGTCCTCCCCCTGGCTCCTTTGTCCTCCTCCATGCCTGCAGCCCCTCACACTGGTATCACCAAGGTAAAATTCCCAGCTTTGCTGCTAGCGTCCAGCCAGCTGAGCAAGCAGGAATCCTGACAGAGGCTTGTGCTGTGAATAAAGGACAGGTCAGGCTGCTTAATACTCAAGGGACAGAAAGAAAGCAGCGCTGGAGGGTATTTGAGGTTCAGAATATATTACATTAGCTACACAGTCACATCTGCCTTTTATTCCCCCTGTGGTTTGGGAGAAAAGCTGTGTGTTTGCATTTCATAATTGACAGAAAAGCTGTGTGTTTGCATTCCATAATTGACAGCTGAACTGGGAGATACTTGGAGGTTGGTTGGTCCTTGCTTTATGTGCCGGTGCCCTGGACTTAACTCTGCAGGTGCTGGCTCCCACAAGCTCTGCCTGGGTGCCCCGAGTTGCTCTGCGCTGTTTTGGTGGTGGCTGCTGGTGGGATGTGCTGTCCCAGCCCTGCCCTGAGCCCCCTCCCCTGTCTCCAAAAGGTTCCCCCTTGTTTCACCCGCCTGCAGGGCTGCCCTCCCCGGGGCTGCGTCACCCCATGGTGAGCAGCCTCACCAGGTTATCATCCCCGAGGTTACTGGTGCGGCAGGGTCAAGGGAAGTGGCCTTGCTGCTCCTGTCCCCCTGGGGCAGATTGCCATGGTGTGGCGTGACAAGGAACAGGAACAGAAAGGCAATAGGACAGGGTTGCTGCTGGCAGGGCCACCCAGCGGGAAGCCTGCCCGTGCTCTTTCCGTGCCCTGCTGCCCTCCCGTGTGCCCCTCTACAGGCACATCCCGGGCGGAGCGTGGGCATCTTCCAAATATAAGCCAGCACTGGTCACATCAGCTCTGCGGGCATCTGCTGGGTCTACTTAGAAAGTGGGTACACTGACTTCTTCCATCAGCTATGGTGTAAATCATTTTATCTTTACTTGTGAAGGCAAAGAGGCTATTTTTAACCCCTGAGCTTGCAGGCAGGGTGGAGGAGAAATGACAGCTATCTTGGGACCAAACTGTCAGGGGTGTGATGCAAATCAAAGCCCGAGGCCATTTTCTGGACAAATGAGGGTGTGCTTGGCCATGAACTCTTTTACAAAGCAGGGCCACTGCAACAGGCACCTGGGGGGGAGCCCCAGACATGCCCCACTGCCCTTGGTGGGACCAGCCGTGCCTGGCAGCCCCAAGAGCAGGGTCTGGCAGCTGCACACCAACACTCTGCAGGAGACCAGAGGGACTGCTGGGGACCAGATCAGCGGTGGGCCAGACACTGAGGTGTGTTCCTGAGGTGAAGCAGCAGCAAAGATGACAAAACAGCTCAGTTTGATCCACATAACTATTTCTTTCTTTTTAATTATTAACTTGTGCCTTACAATAGAAGAGGAAAGAGTGCGAGCAAACAATTTGCTGGTTCCAGAAACTACTCTGGCACCACCACGAGGGCAGTAAGGTCTCATGATGATAACCTTGCCAGGGCACTGGCACACAACACGCACACGCGGAGTCTCCGGCTCTTGCAAAAGCGATCGCTGGCAATTTTAAGGCATTGAAGGAAACCTATGGTTGTAAATCCTATATCGAATTTGGCACACGTTCGAACAGTTAGAGCGGAGACAACAATGCTTTGTGGGCTGGTGTTTGGGAGTCCTGCAGCTTCTCAGCGCCGGCCGGGGCACGATGCTAATGTACGCGTGGGGTCTTCACGTGATGACTGTGCAGCCAAACAAGGGGCTCTGCAGAGCCCAACATTTTGGAGCGAGTGACACCCGATGAGGTGCTGCACCCTGCGACGCACCAGCTCCCCGACCTGCACCTGCTGCTAGCAAACCCTGGGCTCTGGGCTGGACTAATGCTGCCAAAAAACAGTTGTCAGGACAAAAAAAAAAAAAACATGAACATTCCTTATAGTTTAAAACAGAAGTGGCTCATAGACCAGACGTCAGGTGTGGTTACAGTCCCGTATGGCTATTTCTGTGCTTTTGGGATTAAAAGTAGACGACCACATCTTGAGGAGTGGGGAAGAGTTTAGCTCTACATGGATTTGGATAGTAGATGAAGGTCTGTAGCCTTGGAACTAGTTATAGTAAACATGTTGAGTTGTTTCCCTTGCCCCCACCTCCCTAGAGAGCTGGGTGAGCAGCTCCCCATCGCCCACTGCCAAAAGAGGGAGGGAGGGAGGGAGAGAGGGAGGGAGGGAAGGAGGGAAGGAGAGAAGGAGGGGTGGTGGGTGCTACAAGTCCACTGTGCCACCACAACAATGACCAACATGCATCTAGCTACCTGCCCATGCCTCCACCCATTTAAAAGGGAGCAGTGTGCCAAGCTCGGCCTCTGCAGGGCAGGACCCACAAGGAAGCCGGCCCCGGGTCAGTGACCCTGGAGGGTTGTGTGTTTCTAAGGGGGGCTTCCTGCAAGCCCAGCGTGGCTTCGTGCCCAGAGGACAATTAAAGGCCGAGTGGAGACTGTTCCCCCTCAAATGCAAAATGGACAGGGTCCTGACAGTTACATTTTTGCATTTGCAATGAATCCTTCATGCAGGTTTAATCTCCCTCTTTTCTTGGCAGAGGTTATGGTCCCCTCGATCATCTCAGCCCTGCTGGATGATATTTTAGAGGTCACTTTAATAACCTCTCCTTGCTCCTCCTCCTTGAAGGACAGAGTAGAGGAACTAAAGCCTTTAGGCTGGAAGGAGTAAGTGGGGTTGGGGAGGGGATCGAGCACTGAAAGGCCGACACTTCCCATGCTGAAGAGGTTCTCCTCTCCCTCCAGCAGCTTCCTGCAAACATACCACAAGGGAAGAGGTTAGTCTAAGGACGTCTCATGTGAAACATCTGCAAAGCTTGATGGTGTGCTGTGACCTGTGAGCAAGCCCAAACATTCCAGGCCATCACACCAGCCTGTGGTGGACAATGGCTCAGGTCACACTGCACCATGAAACTGTTCAAAATCATATGCTTTTGGTCAATCATTTCTGGAGCACTTTTAGTATGGGGTACATGAGACCAGCTCCCTCCAGAAATGCCAGGAAAATAAAACCCCGAACCAGAAGGACAATGCCTTTTGCATCTGCTTTGACTCTGCAAGAGAGACAAGTTTCCAACCCCAGCTGTCCCCACTAAAAACCACAGCTGCTGGGATGGCTGGGGGACAGGGTTCACGCCTGCTAGATCGAGGCATGACATAGAGCCACGGCTGCTCCCCAGGCAGGAGCACAGCAGGTCCAGGCAGGGCAGATGAGCAACATGATGGTGTTGCTCCTTATGTGTGTACCCAGATATTTTCCAGGTCCTTGAAAATATCCCAGCCTGGTGGGGTCAGGGGACTGGGCTTGGGAGGTGGCCAGGCAGAGCAGGGTCAGAGCAGCCATACCTGTAGGCAGCTATCTCAATATCAAGGGCCATCTTGACATTAAGCAGGTCTTGGTACTCCCTCAAGTGCCGAGCCATCTCGTTTTTGGTGTTTCGCAGGTCGTCCTCCAGCTGCACAATAGTGTCCTGCAAAGGCAAGGGCACTCAGGGCCATGTTTAAGAGCAGGAGGAACCTCTCCCACAGGTTTTCTGTTCTGCCCATCACAGAGACAGGGAAGTTGCAATGGGCAGTTGATCCACAATGGCACATCCCACCAGGAGCTTGGGACCGTGAAATCTCATGCTAACAGGGATGAAGAAGCAGGTAGAGCACTGGGCATGGCTTGTGAGTGTGTATGGTGATGGGAGGCTTTAAACATTGATGGATTTATATAGTTTCCCATATGCAGCAGGGTCTGTGAGACTGGGAGGGGGAGGCGCAAATAGCACATGGTGGTGGAGCCCCCAGTCCTGTGAGGGATGAGGCAGGCTGCTGTAGAGGAAAGGGAAGAGCTGCTGGGGAGGGATGGGAAATTTTGGGCTTAAACATTGCCAAAGCAGTGGCTCAGTGGGACAAGCAAGAGCACCCAGCACCGCAGCAGCCCACGGCTGGAGCAGGTGCCTGGAGAAGGGCTGCAGTCTGTGTCTGAGGGGCTTAAGAGGAGTTGGAACACGCGTCCGGGTGGTGGAAGGAGATGTGGTGCTGCCAGGGCAGTAGGGAAGAGCTGGCTTCAGGAGGGGAAGTCTGACACCGTCTCCAGAAAATGCCTCAGAGCCCCAGGGCAGGGGGGCTCTGAATGCAGGGATTTGGGGGCTTTGCAGAGTCAAGGACCTGCCCTGCAAGAGCCAGGGTGCTCATCTGGACAATGACATCCTGCTAACATCCTTCCCATCAGCTTTACCCTGCCGTGGCTGCTACAACCAGTTCTACCTGCAATGTGGAGGCATCCAAGGCCAGATTTCCTGCTAACAAAGGGACTCATCTTTTTTTCTTTTTTTTTTTTTTTTTTTTTATTAGAAAACAAGCAGCCTGTTTATTTCCCACCTGCATCCGAGTATCTGAGCAGCAGCCTGGACGCAGTGAAACCCACTCCTGTAGGGGTCTTCCCAAACAGATGGTTTCCCGCTGCTGGCTGCCCCACTGTGCCACCGGAGGAATGTGATTTGGAGCAGCAATGAGTAAGCAGTTTGTATTTAAGTAATGGTGCAGCCCTGCCTGCAAAGCCCTGCAATGGCCACCGCCAGTGTCTGTTCTCCTGCACCCCCCTCCCACAGCTGGGCCTCTGTGATTGTTTCCAGCTCCTCTATCCCAGCAAACGAGCTTTATCCTGCCACATCATCCCCATCTTGTCCTTGTCCTCATTCCCATCTTGTCCCCTCCTTCATGTCCTGCATAACCTTCCTTGTGCACAGCGCAGAGACAGCCATGAGATGTGGAGCTGCCCAAGGAGGAGGGAGCTGCATTGAGCCTGACTCAGCAACCCCCATCTGAGCAGAGACCCTCAGAGAAGCAGTGGCAATTCATCCTGAATGCTGCACAGGGCATCTCACAGTCAAGTTAGCTGGACACATCCTGCCTTGCCAGACATTTACAGGCCATCCTTGGGGTCTCTGCCTTGACCTGTGCTGCCCTGACCATCTCCCGCAGCAAGAGACCTTCATGGAGCTATGCCTCGGAGGTGGGACTGGGCAATGGGAAAGGGTTCAAGGAGACCATTGGGGCATCAAGTGAAAAGCCCCAGGACGTGCGTGGATGCCACTGCAGTACAGATTGAAATCTCTGCTCTGATGCAGCCGTGACAGGAGGGAGGGACTCGGGGTGACCCTACCCTGCGACAGCCCCCCTCTCGCTGCTCTGACCCTCTGTGCCTTCAGCCCCCTTCCCTCTGCCTTCAGTCCGCATGAACAAAATACTCTTTAAAAATGGGTCATCCTTGTTACCCTGTCTGTACCTCTTCCACACCCCAGCTCTACCTACTGGTTGAATAAAACCCCCTCCCCACACCACTGCAAACCCGTCCCCTAACAGAAAGCGTATGGGTTCAGATTTGACTGGATAGCCTACAAATATAAAAACATGTCCCTGCTTTAGCAGTCTATAGGAACATTTTAAAAGCTCGAGCAATAGGAATATTCTCTCTTAAGGAAGACTTCCATCCTTTTCCACGGGTTGCAGCCAAGGAAATTATTTAACTGTTACACATGCACATTGCTCAAAAGACTCCTAAGTATTCCTACACTTAAAGCAGACGACCCTGGGGGTCATATAGGAAAACACAGCTCTGCTGTCACTAAAGCAATTTCAATTATGGTGCTGTTTAATCCAGTTGCCTTTTTTCTCTTTTTCCCCAATTGATAAGTTGTTCCTGGAATCCCTCTTTGCACATGGCATCAAGACTATTTAAAAAGATTACTGTGTATAATCCTTTCACCCACTACAGGAAATACCGTATATTGCCTATACCCACAATATTTCTTGAAGAAGACCTCAGCTATTCAGGAAGATTGCAAGCAGCTTAGAGCTACAGTCACAAATGCTAAAGAGCCTGGCAAAATTTGGCCTTGAAAATGAGAAGGCGTTTCTTGGGTGTGAAATAACAAAGTCCTTCAGGTATGACATAAGGCAGTTGTTTCAGTATTTAGAAGGAAACAGCTAGATTTAGAAACCACAGATCATTTAATAGCCATCTAATAGAACAATCTCACATTTATTTTATTATACATGATGAACACTTCCCTGTAGTGAAAAAATGTGGTAATACTGCAGTAATGGAATAAGAGAGATGGTGTGCTCAGTGTCTGCCCCACGTGACAAGGCATAAGAGATGCTGAGATCTGGCTGCAAATTCAGCCTTAACGTTTGCAGAGCTCCAATTTCTGCAGCGCAAGTGCCAAGAGCCAGGCCGCAGGGCGAGGGGCCAAGCCTGGGCGGCTTCGAGGAATTACCCACAATGATGGAGAACGTGGGCAATTTTGGAGCTGACCCTTAAGGGACGGGGCGGGGAGGGGGGTGATGCCCCAAACAGCGCTGCCATATGCAGGGAGACCTTTGTCCCCTGCAGGAAGGGGATGTTGGAAGGAGTGTCCTGGCCCTGCCTAGCCCCCCGAAACCTGCCCTCTGGGGGTTCTGCCTATGGATAAGGGGTGAAGGCAGCAGGCAACGCCCTGGTGAAGCTGGATCTGTTGTGCAGGGCAGAGAGGCCCTACGCCAGGGTGGGAGGAAGGCTGCAGGGGTGCCTGGTGCTGCGCAGTACTGCAGGGGCACTGCCCCGGTACGGGTGGGCGCTGCACAAGGCAAGAGGGGGTTGGTGCTGTACAGTGCTGGTGGCTGGGGGGAGAGAGGGGGAGGTGTTGTATGCAGTGCAGCACAGCACGGGAGAGTGGGGGCGCGGGGGGTGCTGTGCGGTGCGGGGTGGGGGTAAACCGCATCGGGGCAGGGTGTCGAGCGCCGCACAGACCTGCGGGAGGGGCTGCTGCAGAGGACGGAGCTGCGCCGCGGGATCTTGCATGCAGCGGGGATGCTCAGCGCTGTGCAGAAGCAGAGGATGGGGAGTGCCGGGTGGGAGGGGACGGGGACCCCGCGCGGGGAGGGGACGGGGACGGCTCCCGGCACCGCCCGGCTCACCTGCAGCCCGGCGGCTTCGGCGCTGTGCCGCTCCTCCAGTTCCTGCAGCTGCCTCTCCAGCGACTGGTGGGCGCCGCGCAGGCTCTCCATCTCCGCCAAGCGGGCCTGCAGCTGGCGGCGGCACTCGCCGGCCTCCCGGCGGCTGGCGCGGACGGCCTCCTGGCTGCGGGCCGCCCGTTCGTGGAGGCGGGCGCAGCGGGCGCGGTACCAGTCCTCGGCCGCTTGCAGGTTGCGGGCCGCCAGTGCCTCGTACTGGGCGCGCAGCTCCCGCAACGCCGCCGCCAGGTCGGGCCGCCCGGCCGGGGCGGGGGCCGGGGCCGGGCCCGGGGCGCGGAGCGCCGCGCCCAGCTGCGCCAGCTGCTCGGCGTGAGCGCTGCGCAGGGCCGCCAGCTCCTCCCGCAGCGCCTCCGCCCGCCGCTCCAGGTCGGCCCGAGCCCGGGCGGCCCCTTCGGCCGCTTGCTGCCGGGAGCGCAGCGCCTGCTCCGCCTCGGCCCGGCTCCGCGCCTCCTCCTCGCAGCGCGCCCGCAGCCGCTGCGTCTCCTCGGCCAGGCGCGCCCGCTCCAGCGCCGCCTGGGCCCGCTCCCCGTGCGCCTCCTCCAGCCGGGCGCGCAGGGCGCGCAGCTCCCCGCCCAGCAGCCGCCCCAGCCGGCGCGGCTCGGCCGAGCGCTGCCTCAGCGCCGCCAGCTCGGCCGCCAGCGCCCGGTTCCGCTCCTCCAGCGCCCGCACCCGCTCGATGTAGCCGGCGAAGCGCTCGTTGAGGCCCTGCAGCTGCTCCTTCTCGCTGGCCCGCGCCCGCCGCGGCTCGGCGCTGCGCTCCCGCTCCGCGCCCGGGCGCGCCCGCCGGCCCTCGGGGCGCCGCGGGGTCCCCGCGAAGAGGTGGCGGTAGGAGGCGGCCAGCGCCGCCGGCTCCGCGTTGTAGCTCATGGCGGCGGAGCGGGAGGCGGCGGCGGCGGCGGCGCTTATGTACGGCGGGGCGGGGCGGGGCGCGGCGCGGAGCGGGGCGCGGGGCGGGGCGCGGAGCCGGGGCGGGGGGGCGCGGAGCCCCGAGGACGGGGGGGAGCGGAGCCCCGAGGACGGGGGGGAGCGGAGCCCCGAGGGCGGAGGGGGCGCGGAGTCCCGAGGGCAGAGGGGGAGCGGAGCCCCGAGGGCAGAGGGGGAGCGGAGCCCCGAGGACGGGGGGGAGCGGAGCCCCGAGGGCGGAGGGGGCGCGGAGTCCCGAGGGCAGAGGGGGAGCGGAGCCCCGAGGGCGGAGGGGGAGCGGAGCCCCGAGGACGGGGGGGAGCGGAGCCCCGAGGACGGGGGGGAGCGGAGTCCCGAGGGCAGAGGGGGCGCGGAGTCCCGAGGACGGGGGGGAGCGGAGCCCCGAGGGCGGAGGGGGAGCGGAGCCCCGAGGACGGGGGGGAGCGGAGCCCCGAGGACGGGGGGGAGCGGAGCCCCGAGGGCGGGGGGGGCGCGGAGCCCCGAGGACGGGGGGGAGCGGAGCCCCGAGGGCGGGGGGGGCGCGGAGCGCGGAGCCTCCCCGGGGCCGGCGCGGCAGGAGGCGGCGGGAGCTGTCCGTGCGCCGCGGTGCTGAAGGGCTGTGGCGGCGGGCGGGGCGAGGGGGCGGGACAGACGTGTGTAGGGACGGGCGGACGGACGGACACACGGACACGGAGCACGCCAACATACGGGGGCAGGTGGAGAAGGTCACACGCAGAGAGACAGGCGGGCGCACAGGAACGCGGAGAGGGGCGAGCGCATTGCGCAGTAAGACGCACAGAGGCTCGGAGACAGACAGACAAAGGGACGAGCGGACGTGCGGAGAGACGCGCACAGATGCACGTGCAGATGCGCAGGCAAGGAGAGGCAGAAACACAGAAGGAAGCAGGCAGGAATGGGCAGGTGGAGATGCTGAGTCAGGCAGACACACAAGGTGTTAGGCAGACACACGGAGAGGCAAAAACGCCGGCAAACACACAGACAGAAAGGCAGGCAGACAGACAGAAAGGCTGGCAGACACACAGACAGAAAGACAGGCAGACACACAGGTGCACACACACACACACACACACACACAGAGATCTCTCCTGCTGGGCTGTCCCCACCTATGCTTGGGGGAACCCATGCTGTGTGCCTGTGTCTGGGGTGAGGGTGTCCTGGGGGGGTGGTCCCGGCCCCTCTCCTCTGGTGGGGAGCAGGGTGCCTACAGCACTGTGGGGTCTCCGTGGGATGGAGCTGTGGGCAGTTGGGATGCAGAGGTGGGGACATGCCTGGAGGATGGGGTGCCCAGGACAGAGACTCACTGCCAGGCCAGCCATGCTGCAGGGGACAGATGGGGGAGGATTTTGCCTCCAGGTTGCTTGCCAGGAACTGAAAGAGCCACTTCAGTTTCTCTCCTGTCCACACAAGTCGGCTGGGCCCTCCCACACTGGCAGGGGTTTGCTGGGAGTACCCAGGGCTGCAGAGCTGACGGAAATGGGGGGATACACACACCCCACCACCAGGCCAAACACCCTGCCCAGGAACATGACACCCCAGGGCAGGACCTGCCAAGAGACCAACGGGAAGTGTCCTGATCTCTGGGAGCGACGGTGCAAAATGCAGCTGTGAGATGGAAAAACAGCTTAAAATAACTGATCCAGATGTGAGGAATGTGGTGAAATGTGCAACCAGATCCTGGCTCCTGCTGTACATCTCTGTGCCACTGAGCTCTGCACTGGTGCCCAATCCCTCTACTCCACTTGTCCCTGTTTCTCCTCACAGGTGACTAGGGGACAGCATGAGGGAGGCCCAGCAAATGAACTGGGAGGGCTGACACTGGGTAGAGCTGTGACTTCCAAAAGAGCTGTCACTGTTTCAAAGGGACCAGCCAAATACTGAGAGATGGCGCTGGGATTCACATCTCCTTGGGATCAGAAGTCAATCAGAACAGTGGCTACAGAGGAGGCCCTGCAAGCATGGAAGCAATTCTGGCTGGAGGGCACAGGAGCCCATGCCCCTGCAGCTGTGCTTAGAAGGGCATTGCCTGGGGCAGAAATCCCGTGGGGAAACATCCCTTTCACTTGGGAGTGAGGTGAGCCCAGGCCAAGGCAGAGCACTGCCCCACTGTGGCAGCAGGCTGGTCCTAGGCATGCAGTCAGGGATTGTTGATAGGATAGACACACACATGTCTATACCCCACCCTAGTTCCATATATCGGTCCCATAGGGCATAGGAGGAATAAAGTGTCAGTCAGTGGAGACAAAGGAAAGAGATGGGAGCTATGCACATGCTTGGGTGAGAGACCTGGCTCGTGCCTTGGCTTTCAAAGACACAAATCTGCTCACAGGTAGTCTTCCTGGAAGGAGTCAGTTTTCCTGAAGCCCAATTTAGGTCAGTGACAGTGAGTCTACCACATCTGGATCAGCTGAGTAGCTTACGTTCTGGTGCAGAGCCGGCCAGGCAGACGGCCTCACCACAGGCTGGGGGCTGCCAGCTGACCCGGCCCTGGAGCGTGACGCCTGGCCCGAGCTGCCTGGCTCACGCTGCTGAGGCAGAAGTCCTTTCCTTGGTCTGGGTTTTATTCAGGTCTTTCACATACTTCTCATACAGAAGCATTTTACCACTTCCTTGACATCTGTTGCTTTGCATTACAATATCCTAAGTCAAGTTTCTGCTACTGGAAATAACTGATCACATGACAGAAGTTTCCAGCTCTGCTTAGTTATGTGTGTGGCATTGTTTTGATGACTTTGCTGTGTTGCTTGTTACTGATGACAGAGGCTTCTGCAGTTCTCTTTTGTCTTAGAAAAATGGAGTGCAGCTTATCCTGGCCTCCTCACTTGTGCTGTTTTAGCACTGCCCTACATATGTAGTCTAACAGCAGAGTTAGGAGTGTCACAGTCTCCTCCAGCAGAAGAAGTGCAAGGGTCTCTGTAGGGTCTGCTGACGTCCATAGGTAAAGACCCTGTGATTGAATCCCTTTGCCTCCCAATGGGTTGAGGTGTTCTGGAGTCTTTCCACAGAGGGAGGGAGACTGCATGAAGCAGGTGAGACCCGAGCCGGTTGCTGGCGTGATTGCTGGGACCTTGTAGCTGAATGAGCACAAGGAGTTGGAGTCAGTAAGTGACAGTAAGTGTTGTTGCCCCACAGAACAAGGCTGTGGCTCCAGCTCACTGGAAGGCTGCCTTTTTCAGAGGAGCGAAGGGTGGCTGAGACCTTGGGATACACCTCAGCATGAGCTGCCAGTTCTGGGGGTGCTCCTGTGCTGCAGGCAACTGCAGCAGAACCCCCATCCCAGGCACCCAAATGCAATTCCCCTGAGAGCCCCTTGAGCCCCTGAGCCAGCTTTGGGGGCTGGCTTGGCCAACAAACCTGGGAGTTGTACAGCCCTCCCAGTGAGAGGGAGAGCTGCAGTGTGTCCGTGTGCTGGAGAAAAAGCCATGTCCCATCAGACTGAAAAGAAGTCCTTGAAAGACCCAGACCCAAATGCCCCAAAATTCCCTAAATTCTATTCTTATTCTTATTCCATTCTACTTTATTCTAATTCTGTTCTATTCTAAGGCTGGAGGCTGGAGACAAGCTGAACACTGGCATGTCAGACCTGAAATAAGATGGCAATCTGGAAGTGGGCACAATTTGAAACCAGTGTAGTGCCCAGGCTGTGTTCAGCCTCAGGAAACCTTGATGCCTGAGTAACACATGGATCTCCGTTGGTACCCACATACATGTGGCATCAGGGGGAACTTTATAAGTCTAGAAAAAGGACAGAATAACAGAATAACAGTCCCATAGATAAGAATTGCACACTAATGAAACCCAGTGGGTTGTATGAGCGATTAAATTGCCCAGGGCCATTCCATACCATTCCAGTTGCTTCAAAAATCAAGTCTTGCATGTGAGAGAGTAGGAGGACTCCTTAAAACTCTGTGACTCTCTCCACACAGCAGCTGCCTGCTGATGTGGCTCGTTAAACAATTTATCTCCAGAGCTGCAATCTGTCTGGGCTTGTGATTCAGAGGAATAACCCATTGTCTGAGCTGTACACACAGTGCAATAGGATATGCACCTTCCGGCTGGTTTCCAGCACAGTCCATTAAACTAATGCTCTGGGTAGGTGTTTCGCCACCTGGCTTCAACCACAGTAACCATGTGAGAGGGAAATGCTTCCCCGTGGTGGGAAAAAGGCAGATCCAAGCATATCCTGGGAGTCTGCTGCCAGATCTCCTCCTATGGCACAGTGGGTCTGACCCCCTGTGGGAGGGAGAGCTCTGTGGTAAGGGCAGCAAAATCAGGGAGAAAATATATATGTGATAAACACATATATAAGAAAGAAGGACGTATTCACTGAACTGCACACACACAAAAACACTAATAAAAATAGGAAAATGGCTGTACAGGGTCCCTCTAACTCAGGAGTTTGTTTCTAACAGTGGCAGATTTATCCGTCCCTGGTATAACTTCTATGCTTCTGGCTGTCTTTGGCTCTGGGGCTCTCTGGGCAGCAGTCACATCCCTGTGTTTGCTGGCCCTTATCTAATCAGTGCAAGTTCATGTCCTGGATGCCACCGTGCTCTGTAATCCACAGTTTGATAATGTGCTGTATGAAAAAACATCATCTTTGCTTGCACTGCAAAGTCACTGCCAGATAATTTTATTCCATGCCCCTGACTTGTGGGACACAGGGGAAGAGCTGGGACACAGTTTCTGCTCCCCCATCTCCCTGTGCAGGATTTTGCAGACCTCGGTCTTCTTCCTAGGCTGAAGGATTTTCATCTATTTAATTTCCTACTGTGCTTTTACTCATCCTTGTTGGCCTCAGTGCATCTCTTGGAGATGAGTGTTGGAAAACACGCAGACACACAGGCAGAAAGACACACACACACACACACACACACACTCCAGGATAGAACCCACCATGAAAATGAGCTCCCAAATGTCCCAGGGCATTGGGAGGTGCAGGCTGAGCTTCCCAGGTGGGTAATGCCACCCTGCTGTGGACTCGGTGCCAAAAACGGGCCCTCCTTTATCCAGAATTAACAGCATGTGTTGAAGGCTGGTGCCGTTGGGTGTTTCCCCTTGGCAAGGTGATGGAGCAAGGCTCCCTGAGCCCACCGAGCCACAACGGGCCAAGCGTGCCCAAGTTGGCAAAATTCTGCCTGGCGGCGTGTCCCTGTGCCGCAGAGGCTGGTAACAGTGCCTTATCGCCTGGAGCAGGGCAGAGGGGTGACAGGGAAAGCCGAGGGGAAGTGTCCTTGGGGAGATAAAGGAAGCACAGTGGCAGCAGGGCCGGAAAAGCTGCTGCTGGAGGAGGGGAGGCATTGCCAGCCTCCAGCCACCGCTGAGCACGGGAAAGGAGACCGGACCTGGGTGCGGGTGGTTTGGCAGAGCTGCGTGGGCCCGGGATGAGCTGGGGCGGGCGGATGACTGCCATCACCCTTGTCACCGGTGGGGACCACTCCAAGGTGTCCAGGACCCTGCTGGGGCTGGCCCATCCTGGTACAACTGGGAGTGGACCAACGGATAGTGTTTGCTATGCACAACCATTTCTTGAGCCTTTTCTGCCCGGAATGCCATGCCCCCACAGGTGTGACTGGTGCAGGCTCATGCTCACGGGTGCCAGCGGGCCTTTGATCAGGACGGACAGGCAGGACCCCTGCCTGTCTCCTGCTGTTGCAGCCAGTGTCCCCCAAGTTCCCCCCCCCCCATCACCCCCGTGCCACCCACAGCCGCTCTCTGTACCTCCTCGCCATCTCTCTTGCAACGAATGGGGCGCACCCCGGCTGCCTTTGCCCCAGCCCGTGCTGCAGACTCACTCCCCCCAAAATCAGTAATCCATTAATAAAACCAAAAATAAAATTCGGTTAAAATACCAAAGCTCTGGCTCCTTCAGCCAGCGTGGCACGCAGCAGCACGGAGGTCGGCTGACAGAACTGTGGGGGCTCCGTCAGGCCGGGGGGCGGTGTGTGTCCCTCTGCGGCTGTTCCGCGGGTCGGCACATTGCCGCCGCTCCCTGTGCGGCCGAGCGCCGGGCTCGCACACTCTCCCCGGTCCCTGCCGGCGGGCGGGGCGGGGCGCGGGCCGCGCCTGCGCGGTGCGGCCGCCGGGGCGCTGCGGCAGTTGTGCGGGCTGAGTTCCTCCGAGCGCGGCGGGAGGTGAGAGCGGCCCGGGCGCGCGGGGGCAGTGCGCGCGCGCGGGCGCGCGGCGGGGACCGTTGGCGGGGAGGGGGGGGGGGGGGATCAGCGCATCCCCTCCGCTCCCCTCAGGCGTGCACCCCGGGAAGAAGGCGGTGGCGGAGGGGTGAGGGGGGGGGGGTCGGGTCTGTCCGCCGTCGCGGCCGGGGCTGAGGAGGGGAGGGGCAGTGAGTGGAGCCCGGGTGCCTGCCGGCGGCGCTTCCCCTTCTGCCGGTGAGGGGATTCCCTCGGAGGGAGCGCCCGCCGCTTCCCCGCGACCCGGCTCCCACCCCCCCCTGCCAGGGAGCCCCTGTTGCCTCTCCACCCCATCCCAAGCAGGGCGGCCACCAGGTTACCTCAGCCCATCCCGGCGGGGTCAACCCCCGAGCCTTCCACCTCCCCGTGGGCCCCCAGGCTCCCCGGGGGCAGGGTGGCTGTTTGCTGGCCGCCCCGGCGCGGGGAGCGCTTTCCGCCCGCCCACCCAGCCGACAGGGGAAGGAGCTCTCAGGAAGGTGTTTCTGAGGTTTGGGGCTGGCACCCGCAGTGTTCATTTCCTACTTCCTATTCCACGAGGGCCGGAGAGGTCTCGGCGGCACCTTCCAGCTCGCTCCTTCCCCCCGGGATAGCCGCCACCCCGGCTGGTGGGGTGGGAGGGACGATCCTCTTCCCTGAGGAAAGAAAGCCTGATCCTGGCTCTGGGCAGAACGCTTCCCGGACAGCCTTGCATCAGGGCGAGGGTTCATTGTCATGCTCTGTTTTCGTTTGAGTTGCTCTTGGAAATTCCACTCTATCAGGCTTGGGCTGGTAACCTAAAGACAGGAGGCAGGCATGAAATAAATAAATAAAAAACCTCGCAAAATTGATTTGCTCACATTTTGCTTATGCTTTTTTTTTTTTTTTTTTTTTTTTACTCCTTCCTTTTGTGCCAAAAATAATATTGCAAAATGTATGGCGGAAACAAACCTACATTGGTTTCTGGTAGACTAGATGACTTAATAGGGCAGTACTGTTTCTTGTAGCACAGGCAGTTTTAAAAATTCCTGGAACCACGGAGATTATGAAACCCTCAAGTTTAGTCCCTTGCTAGTGTTTCTAAAGGCTGCCAAGCTGGATACTAAGGATCCTCTGACGTGGTCTTGAGAACATTCCTCCCAAGGCATAATCATTTATGCTTTAAAAGATTTTTTTTTTCGCTCTGGAAGATTTACCACTTGAGCCCTCAAAGATTGCAGAATGCTTTCTAATTAGTGACTTAGAATTGGCCCCCTCTTACCTATCCAAATGATCCTCTGTGTCAGTTTAGAAGAACATCTTGTCGCTGACTGAAATATATTGTATTTATCCATATACCTGTTTGTCACTAGTGAATAAATGGAAAATATGAAGATTTTTAGGTCCTCTCAGGTGCTGTGTGGTTTTACTGAAAACCGGAAACATAACTCAAAACTACATTTTGATCTTCAGTTCACATGCTGAATTTGTACTTCTGGCAGTGATGAAAAACCCTGGTGTTTTACTTGTGAACTGATCAGCATAGCTCTGGAAGTCTGTCACAGTCCTTGTCAGCCCATGTCAACCTAAACATATTTTAGAGTAGAACTACTATTTAAAATAATCTATTGCCATTAGTCCAGGGTCCAAAAGATCATTCAGGAACTTGCTGGTTTGATTAACAGCAGTTGGAGTTTGTTCAAGCATAGACGTAGTTTCATTATATAGTACAATACAACCTTTACTCTGTATAGCGTCATTCAAACAAATTGTATGGCAAAATGCACCACTGAATTACATTTAAAATGCTCCATTGAATTAAGTACAATTGCAGAGATAAATGGGGAGAAAATTGTAAGAACGGGAGAAATGTTTTCAGCTGAGGTTTGAAATTAACAGCCTGTTAGTATATTTGCATTGGTAGCAATAGTGTTACGCGCTGTTTCTAGGATATACGCTAGCAAAAATCAGATGCAAGCTGAAATTTTGCCAGGCAAATTTCCAGTTTGTAGGCAAGTAATAATAATAATAATAATATTATAATAATAATAACAACAACAACAACAACAACTCCCCTTGAATTGTTACTCCTTGTCATGTTTGATTCGTGATATAGCTTGAATTGAAAGTTAACAGACCCTTCCTAAAATCACTAGAAATGTTTATACTAGACTCTTTTTTAACTTCGAGGGCAATGTTTGTTTTTTAAAAAAACGAAACCTTAGTGTGGTGTTTACTGATAAACACTGTGGTATTGTACTCTTTGGGGAAACATTGAAAGGAACGTTTTATTTCCTTTAAAAATACACAAGTATGATATTTTCATGCCTAAAGGAAAAGGGGAGCAAGCTATCCAAATACGATGTTTAACTGATGCTTACTGAAAGAGCACAGAGGTTTATTTGCTCACATCATACCTTTTATTTGCAGTTCAGCTTAATAAAATAATGCTTCAGTTAAAAACTGATAGATGGGTGCTTAGCTTGCAGCATGAGCTGTTATCTGGGGATGGCCCCGAGCTGGCTTCAGAGCAGGTTTGCGGTGCTTCAGGACAAATGGAGATGGTCTGCAACCTTTGAATCCTACAGAAATTGTAGATGCTGACTTGCAAGTAGGTGCAGGGAGAGGGGCTGACTGCAGCTCTGCCCTGAAAATCTTGGGCAAGAGACAGAAGTGGAGTCATGCAGTCACCCTCCGTGAACCCAGTCTTTTATAGGAAATTGAGATTAGGGCGTGCTGTGGGATCTGGGTGTTCAGTACTATGCAACCTGCCGTTGCTTGGCCACTGGTGAAAATTCTGCTTGGCCACTGGTGAAAATTCTGCAGAGGTCTGTAATGACCCAAAGTAACATTACCAGGTAGAAGCTGCTTGGCCTGGGGAAGGAGGATTAATAGCCTCCAGCCAGGCTGCAGTGGAAAGTTGTCATAGGAACTGGCTTGCTGTTTGGCAGGGCAGTGCCTTGTCTTCACTCCTTTAAAAGAACACTTCAGTAACTAATCGCCTCAGGATAAGAAGTACTCGTATGCCATCCAGCGTAAACCCATGAAGGGAGCAAGGCACTTTGGCTCTACCCCAAGGGAAACTGAGGACAGCACTGTATGTCAGCAGAGGACAGCCTGAGTGATGTACCTTGGGATGAGTTTGCAGTGCCTGTTCTACACCATGTCCTTGCCTCGGGGTGGCTCACAAATGCTGGTTGTCCTGATATAAAACAGCTGTGGCTTTTGTAGCTGTGAGAATAATAGGACAGAAAACAGAATGTGCCTGGGAGTGGAAGCCTTGTCTCACTCTTTGGGATGAGTTTGGGATGAGATACATTACCAAGTCAGCACATGGGAATTCTTCACTTATTGTATGTACTGCATCTACTTTTTAAATTTTACTTATAGTGTCAGCAGCACAAATATAATTTGAAATTGTATTTGAAGTGGCCACAATCTGAGTTTTCAAAAGCTGGCTATTCTGTGCTGAAGCATAGCTTATTCTCCGACTGTCTTCAAAGTGCACATTCATATAAATATTTCCTATTGTAAAATGTCTGTTTTGTGCTACTAAAGAAATCATTATTATGTGTCATGGTTATGATGCTCGTAGCAATGAGCTGTATTTTGCTTTTTAATCATTATGACTCCTTATTTGGAATGGTTCCTAAAACCTTGGACTGTGTACTCTACATAGAGAGCACGTATATCATGAGTCTGCTTTCTTAATACAACCTGAGAGAGAATCTAGCATGTACAATAAATAGAACTTAATGTACAGTAAATAGACCTTAAGCAACATCTGGAAAAAACTGTGTAGTTATTTCAGGTAGCCACTGTAAGCAGTTGGTAATCTAAACCCACCTACATAAGGGTAGTTATTAAGTCTCATGCATGTGTTTGTAGGGCTGAAAAGGTGCTCGGGAGACCTGCCTGTATGAAGCCATATTAGGAGAAATATTTTCTTTTTTCTATGACAGCATGAGATCAAGCGGGGAGCCTGAGTAATTCAGCCTAAAAAATCCACAGCAGTCTGTGTCCAATGTTTTCTACTACCTGAATGTGTAACAGTGTGTGCGCTTTACTACAAGGTCAAAAGCAGATTTTCTCTTACTTCACAGACAGTTGTGTCCCTAAACATAGGAGCAGTGAGTGGCTGTGTGCCAGCCCTCTCAGTCCTACCACTTTCTCAAGTCTGGTACAAGATGCTAGAGGCTAAACTTGTTGCTTGCTGGTGACCTTAGCTTATCATCCTCTGGGCATGAATACCTGCTGAGGGATTTACTAGCACACCCAGACTTTCTTTGGTAGTTTAAATAAAGTTCTGACTGAACTGGGGAGGTTGAAAACCGCACTGTGATTATCTGCATGCTACCCTCTCTTAACACATAAGCAAGAAAACAAGTGGGTTCTTACCCTGCGCATCACAGCAGCTAAAATTGCTTTAAATTCTGCAAAGGTGTGAGCTAATTAAATGTGGAGAGCAAGAGACACAGAAATGAGATACCTCTAGAAATGACGCTGGGATGTGAGCAACTTGTTGGTTTCTCTTTTGAAATTAAAGGATGTGTGGGTAGAGCTTCTGTAGGTAGATGGAAGAAGAAATGGAGGCCCAAGGAGATGTGATCCTTTTGAGATTTGAAGGTGGCTCCAAAGTGAAATAAGTTAGTAGAAACCGATGTGTGGGAACAGTGTGCTCTCGTACTGCTTGCGTTATACCCATCCTATAAATAAGAAGACAGCTGCAGTCTCCAAACCTACCTTTCCGTCTCTTTTCACCACAAGTGATTTATTTAAAAACAAAGATTCCTTGAAATCATTATACATTCCAAACTTAGCTTAATTTAATTATAGGGTATTCACAGCTTCAAGCTGCCTTCCTGCTATTTTCAAACAAAGACTTAGTATTTTGCACATATGCTTACTACAAGATTATCATTTAACCTTGCTTGGCACGACTTGTTCAGAGGAAGGGGTAAAACAGAGATTTCCTGTAGGAGATTCTGCAG